AAGCGTACGATGTCTTTGAAATATTACTACGGTTCCCGAGAGAGAGAACGAAAGAGAGGAACTAGCGTTTTCCTCAATTGACTATTGCAACGTTTAGACGATGATGCACTATCATATACGATGATGTAATATCGTATGAAACTTCTCGAATCAATTGAAGTTCACTAAATTTTGTCAGATATTGCAAGCAGATATATGTTGCTAACACGGAGAAACAGTTAGCTACGGCAGAGACATCTATGTGTAGTAAGAATCTATGTGTAATAGTTAAATCTCGTTGCAACGTATGAGTATCTAAGTATGAGTATGTAAGAGAATCAAATCCAATTGATTCTCAAGTTCCAATTAATTTGTCATAGAGAAATCTCTTTCTCTCGCGGATTATTACGGATTATTACAATTTTCCTTCTGACTATCGTTTTCTATAACAAAATAAACTCTACTCGTTTCTTTCTTGTTGAGGGCTTTCGAAAACCGACCGATACTGACTCCATTATTCATCCGCTCCTGAGTAAAATAACGTACAGGTGCGTTTTGCTCGAGGGAGGAGAGAGAGACAGAGAGAAAGAGAGAGAGAGAGAGGGAGAGGGAGAGAGAGAGGACGTAAACGTACTTAGGTTCACGCGTACCTTACGGAACGAGAAGAGAGTCGGGAGCGCGCACGCTACCGTATTTCTCTGGAAAGTGATCAAGACGCGCGCACTCGTTCCGCGATCGTTTCGAGAGGAAACGCGGCCGCTCGCTCTCAAGTCGCGCGCCACCGTTCTGGCAGGTGTCACGGGCGGCGTAATGAGGGTCTTCGTGTCCCTCCGTGAGATGATTGCGGAACGACGTGCCGGCGCGCGACACTTCGTCACGGTCTCCCTTGTCTCCCGACGCGCACGTGCTCGGACCGATTACGGATATCGACGGGATCGTGCACGCGATATCGATCTCGCGTCCACTCGCAGCCGCTTCTCCCGTATCATTTGGAGACGCTCGAATCGGTCTTATTCTCGCCTGTGGTCCGACAGGGAGACGGTGGGACCGCGCGCAGATAAATTATCGAGCTGCTGTACGACGCGTATATCTCGTTGATTTAATTACCGGTCCTGGCGCGGTGGCGGAAAACATAATTCACTAATTAATTCCTCGTCACCTCTCGCGCGTATATTTTACGACGCGATATCCGCGTGCGTGCGTGCGTGCGTGCGTGCGCACATGTGCGATGTGTTACGACACGCGAGCCGAACCGGTGCACTTTTGTGCAGCGAGCTATCCTATAGCTCCCGTTTGCCGCGGGGAATGTTCCGCGCTCGATACGATCGGCGCACGGAGTCACCAGATATTACGAGGCCAGCAGCAATGCTCCCTCCGGTTTGCGAGGTACACGGCGAGTGCGACTCCTACCTTCGATCGGGTTACCGAACGTGCAGACACTTGCACACACACTTTTAACACGAGCTTGCGCGGGACTTTCAGTCGCTGAGATAACGCGCCAGAAAACGTATACACCCTGTGAAATTGATCGAATAAATTCGCTCGTTTCACGAGCGTCTAGTGATCGATAAATTCACGGGACCATCCAGATCGTGAGGTTCTCTTCGTGAGGATTTATTATTGACTTTATATGAAAAAAGATTTTACGAACACTTTTTTGGCAGAAAAAATATTTTTCCATGTACTTTTTAGATAAAAGTAATGTTGAGGTATGAGGAGATAATGGGATACGAATAATAAGGCAATGCAAAATGATGGTACTATCAAATAAAAAGTAAGACAGATGTTTCATAACAATTGTTAAGATCTCCTTTGTTACTTGTCAAAAATGAATATGCTCTATCTATATTGTGCACGTCTTATTTACCTCGTGTGACTTGTTTACCTAATCGGACGCGATATTTCACATCTGCATGAACTCCCTCCGATATAAATTTACCTTCCGTTCGATTACTGATCGCGCACGGAAGCGCCAGATGCATCCGCAAACTCGCGTACTGTGCCTGCGGGAGCGCTGCATCGCCAATGCATCTGGCTGTAGTACCGTAGGGACGAGGAGATGGGAAGGGACGGGAGAACCCTCTGTCTCAATGGGAGCCCCGTGGTACGCACCTGTGCGCTTTTCAACGGTGAATGGGGGTCCCCGCAGGGGAGGGACTTGAAATGAGTGGCTTGCGCCGGCAAGGGGTGCGAAAACGCTCTATTAAAGGGACACGCACGTCCACACATCTGTCGCAATCACCGCGGTATTGTCGGCAAGCCAGAGGCGATTTAAATGGGGTTAAGCTTGCCCTCTACGCCTACTTCCCCCTGTGTTTGCATATCCGATCCGCGTACATAGGCGCCGACAATGGCTCGTAAATTTCGCGCCGATTGCTCTATCTTTCTTCTTACTTGACGAAATAGCGTGGCAGCAATTTTACTTTCCACGATTCTTGGTATTTACGTATATGAGGAAAGGATTTCATAAATATTTATGATGGGCTAGTTGTATTATCATGTGTTTGCGAGAGTAATGCGAAATATTAACTGTATAATATAATCAAGGTTACTGACTCCTTCGCGCAAAGACTTTTATAGTAAAAATTACTACAAAATTATTATAAAATTTTGTAACCGAGAAGTAGATTTTTCTGCAATAATTCTGCAGAAATTCGCTATCCTTTCATTTTATATGTGCTACTTATATTTTAAAAACTGACATTAAGATATGTGCTGTGTTTCTAGCCAAATTTACTATGTTCTTTAGCAAGGTAGTCCTTAATGGTAATCTATTCCTGGACTAATAAAAACATAATAAAATTGAAAAAATGTGTACAAAAAAAGCTATAATATTTTATCTGTGTTCGAATCTAACACTAAGCATTTGAGATGTTACTTTGTTCCCAACATTTTGAGATATCATATTCCATCACGAATTTACAACAATAATTTATATATTCATTTTTGGCGTAAGACTAATTTACGTAAAAAGTTTGCATTGTAGGACAGTACTCATAATTATAATTTGCATTTAAGGTCATCTAAAATTCATCCTTAGGTGCTATACGGATCATTTGAATGTAGCTGCGAAGCATCTGAAGATATGAACCTAAGGCGACTCTAAATACAAAATCGGGCTATGAATACCGGCATAAGAAATGGAATAATTCGCAATTGTAGATTCGACGCCTATGGGATACGACGTCGCCGCGCCTCGTAAGTCGCTCTTTCATGAATTTTAGGGGTTGCTCGTCAGCACGCGTGATCCCGCACGTGCGCCACGTTCGTCCTCTCACACGTTCCACGTGCCCGGATGGGCCCTTTAGGCTTAGGACAACGCGTAAGAAATCCGAGAAGACGTTCATTTATACGCGAACGTAGCGCGCGAAATCCTTCTCCGTCTTCTCTGCCTTCCCTCGCATCCTTTCGCGTACACGATTCTTCCGGCGCTAAATGTAAGACGAGACCCGAAGGCTATGAATCGCCGCGGCCCCTCGAACGCACTTGAACATGCTGTTTCGTGCAACCACGCGCGATAAGTATTTGCCAGTCCCACGTTCCCGTCTCGCGGAGCCCGATCTTTCAAGCTCGCCTTGTCGACGCCCGGATTTCCACCGGACAGATTAACGTCACAGACCCGTTCGAGATAACGTTATGTAATGCGTATGCGCGCGGGTGTCCCACTTTTGCAAACGTGTCGACCGATTTCCCACTCGACAAAGAAGGTCGCACTGAACGGCTACGGTGCGAATAATATTCGTGAAAATCCGAGGGAACTCGTGGGAAACGCGCGAAAAACAGTCGCGATATTGGACTCGCCGATTCGAGTCCAACAGCTCCAGGTACGGTTCGTTAATTCTTCGTGTACTCTCAGAACGTGTGTGTAAGACGAGACTGAGCGTAGGTTATCGATTCCCAGTTCTACGGGCACTTGAGCATGGTGCATGCACGGTGCAATGCGTATTTGCTTGGGGAACGCTTGTCGCCCTAGCAAAGCGATCTCTCTCAAACACCCTGCACATGTCAGCGCCAGATGGTTAGATTGAATTTCGTACGCGCAGCGCGCTTTGAGATAATGTTGCGCGCCGATTAGACACATATTCAGTTCTTCGCGTTAAACCGTCTTAGAATTTCACGTAGAAAAATGTTCAGCCGCGGAAGCTAAGATAGGTATAGTTGTGTCAGCTAAAATGTATCACTGAGAGAAATAGCGATATTATATTGATAAAGTTCATACGAAATGAATGTATAATCCGAAAAGAGTAATTACATTATGTCGATACATTATGTCAATTGAGAGAAAACACCTGAACAGTAAATTTATTTTAAATCTGTCCCCTACGTGCGCAAATAATGGTGATGTTTATATGAAACACTCTACAATAAAATAAATAAATAGGGAATGATGTCTTGTTGCTGTATATCGAAACTAATGCTGCAATTCTATATAGAATCGTAAATTGTTCTTGTAAAATACGTAAGAACTTATGAGTAAATTTATAATTCTATGCAATATTATATGTTATACAATTACTTGTAAATATCTACGATTTCATATAATCTACGATATTTACAAGTGATTGTACGACATATGATATTGCACAATATCATATATATATATATATATATATATATGTATATATATATATATATATATATATATATATATATATATATATATGTATATATATATATATATATTATATATTGTAATATATAATATATATTACAATTGTAAATCTACTCATAAATTCTTACGAATTTTACGAGAACAAGATAAATTCTTACATTTTACGAGACTTACGATTCTGCTTAGAATTGCAGTATAAATTGATTAGCTATTTGAGTCTAGGCGTTACGATAAAATATATCCGATGCTAAATATGCATAGTAATGACTGCACTTTATATTCGTCAAAAACATTAAACTGACGTTTCGCATTGCAAATACAAACCAAGGTTTTTCATTGGTTTTCAACATAGATTAATAATCGATATGTATTCAACGCAAACACAGAAACAGATATCTTTTGTACTCACATGATTACGCCACTTGATCCTCGTGCCACTGAAGGATGATCCCATATTCCTCGGATGCGCGACAATTTCCCCTTTCCAATGCGCTTTGTTTCAAGTCGTTACGTTGTCTACAAGTGGAGTTATTCACAATCACATCGACCCGCGTCTTAGATCGTTCGGCGTTGTCGCCGCAGCGAGCAGTGTATACGTCACGGCGCGACACGTGAATGGAATGCGGCTACTCTCAGAAGTCACCTTCGCGCTACGTCACGGCGCGCTACGTGACGGCGCGCACGGGTACGACTGCCTTCCCCCCCCCCCCCCCCC